TCCGGAAAGGAGTGCGACCGCCACATGTTGTTGTATATGTTTAGTAGGAGTGTGAGTGTTTCTGAGGGTAAGTGTCTAATGATCTGGTTGTGGATGTCATCCGGTCTCGGGGCTGTATTGCCCAGGTCCGAGATGCACAATATTAGTTCGTCTATTGTGAAGTCTGCATTGTAGGTTTCAGTGTTGTTTGAGAGGAAGTTTAGGTGTTGTTTTTCTCTGTTAGTGTTAGTTTTGATGTTTTGAAAAGTGGTGTTGTAGTTTGCTTGGGATGAGTTTTTGGCGAGAGATGTAGCAATTGTGTTTGCGATGTCTACTTGTGTTTCAGCTGTGGTTCCATCCGGCCTCTGGACGTGCCAAATGGTGTCTGTGCTTCTACCCAAGAATTTTTTAGCAATTTTGAAAACTTGATTGAGTGGTGTCTGGCTGTTGATTTTTTAGATGTATTTTTTGAATGATTGTCTTTTACTCTCCCTGAGGCATCTACGTGCCACAGCTCGAGCCTTTAAATTGTTTATCTTGTTTTCTGTGGTGGTGTTGTTGACGTTTTTTTCGATACGCTGCCTTCTTTTTCTTTACTGCATCCTCACATTCCCAAGAGAACCAGATATTGTTCCTCTGGGGTTTTGTTTTTGTTTTTGGTATGTGTTTTTGGCATATTTCTAAAAGCTTTTCGTGGAATTTATTGTAGTTGAGGTCGAAAGTGGGGTTCAGAATCTGGGAACATTGATTGGCAAACCCGTTCCAGTCTGCTTTTTTTAAGTTGAAGCGTTTGGGATCGGGTCGTGTTGGAGGCTATTGTTTTTTAGAAGAATTGGGAAATGGTCCGTACGGTCTCCAGCACAGACCCCTCAAGATCTGGGACTAGGTCAGGGGTACAAAAGGTGAGGTCAAGAGATGAAGTGCCATAGGTGGCTCTGTTTCTGTAAGTTGGGGACCTATCATTTAAGAGACAGATGTTATTTTGAAATAAAAAATGTTATATTATTTTTCCTTTCTGGTCTGTAGGTTTGTCTCCCCAAAGGGGGCTGTGGGCATTGAAATCACCTAGCAAAATAAAAGGTTTTGGAAGCTGAGCCTTTAAGTCATTTAGTTGGGTTAATTTGAGAGGGTAATTTGGTGGGATATAAATTGAGCAGATCGTGATTGGTCTGTGCAGGGTGACCCGTACGGCAATAGCCTGGAAGGTCGTCTTAAGATGTACTTGTCTATGGAATGTGTTGTTGTCGGTGTAGATGGTGGTACCACCGGAAGCAATCTGGTTCTCAGTGTGAATGTGATGATACGCAGTAAATCCTCTTAAGTCTATGGTTGAAGCCGGGGCGAATTTTGTTTCTTGTATACAGGCCACACGTGGGCACAGTGTGGCCTGTAAGTGTTGCAATTCTGCAATGGAAGGTCAGATTCCGCAGGCACTCCATTGCAGGACCGCCATTATGACTTTTTAGTTTTTATTATGGAGCTCAAAGGCCCCGGCTTCGAAGAAACACTCTGACTCCTCCTTGCGGGGGAGGTACAGTGTTTTCTAAGTTGCCGTCCTGGATTGGACGGCGGTCTAGTGGGGGATTTGGAGGAGTGACAGATTCCGCCCTTCCCGGGGTCAGGCTGGGGAGGGGGGTCGGAGCTGTCTTCCTCCATAGGCAGGGGTTTGTCTGCTGGAGGGGTAGGGGGAAGTTGAGCAGACGGAGGGGGCTGGGAAGGGGGGGAGGGGGCTGGGGGGAGGGGAGAAGGCCCACTTCACACTCCATCAGAGGGATGGGCTGTGAGGTGGAAGAAGAAGAAGAAGAAGAAGAAAAGGGGATAGAAGAGGGGTGAGGGGGAGAAGAGGGGGCGGAGGAAGAGTCCTCCCAGTCCTCCCCTAAAGCCCCATAGCGGTTAGAAAGTGGCACCTCATAGGGGGTTACCACAGGGATAGTAGCGGGCTTTTTGTTCTTAGGCACAGAGACTTGCCTGTTGACCGCAGGCTTTGGGAGGTCGGCAGTGGAATTACTTGCCGACCTCGTGACTACCTGGGCTGCCTTTGAATATGATGACCGGCCAATGACTGGGGTTATGACTGGCGGGTAGACAACCTTACGGGCCTCCTGGAAGGAGCAGCCATTTCGCGCCTTGTATTCTTGGATGGCGCGTTCTTGGAGCCAAGTCGGGCACTCCTTGCTGAAAGCTGTGTGCTGGCCGTGGCAATTGGGGCAACAAGGACTAGCCTTGCATTCCTTCTTAGGATGCCCGGTCTTGCCACAACGAGGACACACGGCTGCGTGACTGGCTATGGCCGAACTTCTGACACTTGAAACAGCGCAGAGGGTTCGGCACATCGGGTCGTACGTCGAGTACCAAGTAAGATGCCCGAACCGTGGCTGGAGGGCGACACGATTCAAATGTGACGACAACCGTGTTCGTCTCAATAGTAGTCTCCCCCCGTCGAAGAGTAATCCGGCGGGCTTCGACCACTCCCTCACAGTGCTCCACAATCTCCTCCATGGAGCAGCCTATCAGCTCATGGCTGCGGACCACGCCCTTCGAGCGGTTAAATTTCTGGTAGTGCTCGGACTTACATGGAATACTGCCGAAGGTCGTGGTATCCAGGAGTTTGGTCACTTCGTTCTCGGTTGCGCACTTGACAAGAAGTGCACCACAGGAAAGTTTCTGTACACATGTGGGAATGTATCACAGAACTTTCCGTAGTGCATCTCCTGTCTTAACAGGTTGAGATCGGTAATTCTTCTCTGTGCGTCTTTTGAACTGGAGATGGCCACGTACGGTTGCCTCAGAAGCTCCTTGGGAGGAGGGAGGAAGGAGGCATCGGTTAAGGTCCTTTTACCATTTTTTAAACTTTTGCTCGGCTCGGCGGCCGCACCCGCTTCCGCGAGCCGAGACTTTTTCACGTTGGGAGCTGGGGAAGGGTCTTTAGGGTTTTTAGAATCCATGAGAGCTTTTTATTTGATTAGACTCCGGGGCTCCCCGCCCGCCACGGAGCCCAACAAAGGGACACATTGCTCGGATGACCAGAGCTGTGCCAGGGCTACCCTGGAGCTATACTCTCAACGAGAAAGTACAAGACCCTCAAGTCAAGATTGACCCAGGGCTTGATGGGGTTTCAGCTCTCAACCGATTGAGTGGCATGGGCCGTGCCACCCTCCCGTCTAAGAGGAAAACCAGGGCCAAAGAGGTGTGTTGGCAAGGTACAGTCCCTGGACAGATCTCACCTCAACCACCAGGTACCCGGTTTCCCTCCGCACGGGTCGCAACTCACTCTCAACGAGGCGCCCACTCTGTGGGATGGGTGACCTCTCGTTTTGCTGCACATGAGGTCAGCGGTGGTAGGAAAGATAGAAAAAGAAAGAAAGAAGGAAGGAGAAGAGGAAGATACACCAAAGTGAGTGTCGCACACGGATCCCAGAGGCTTGGGGTCTGTGTGCGACACTTCGCCTTTGAGGGGGTTGCACCTTCTGCAGACGAAGCAGTGGGTCTATTTATATCCCCCCGACCCACTGGGTCAAACAAAAGAAACAAAAGGGCAGTAGCATCAGAGAAATGTACAAAAGAACAAATTGAAAGAATACATGCTTGACTTACATAACTTACTAATTAGTAACATATTAGGCGTTAAAAATCAGATGTTCTAAAGCGTAACTACCTTAAAAGCAACGATATCCCCTAACTGCGGTGGACCTTCCAGCACTGGAATCTTCTCACACTCAATACCCACTGGCGTCACTTCAATTCTTCTGTCACCAGACAAGTGTCCACTTCTGTCAAGAAGTTTTCTGGTATCACGGTGGTTCTTTGAATCATTCTCCACTTGCTGTGAAACCTACACACAAAAACAACAAGATTCAAGCACTGACAACTACATTTGACACTTGACATATCGTCCGCCAACTATTAAAATGCACTAAGCTAAAAATATTGAAAATCATCTTTCACTTGCAATTTCCTAATCTGTGGTATCAGTCTCATGTGCTTATAAAGATATTTTGTCAAAATTTAAATTCTAAATGTTGAAAAATGCAAGTACAGAAATACTAATGAAGGTAGTTTTTAAAAGAATGAAACTGGTTTTTTTCATTCTCCAGCACAATTTTCAACGATATGATAAAGGGAGTGGGTAAGCAGGGTTTGAAGTCAAATCGATCAAAGCTTAAAACCAAAAAGAAATCAACAAATATAATCAAACTCGTTACCTTCCTCCTTTAGATGTGAATTATGTTCCTAACTATGCCACTACTATACTCATCGAGGAGACCAGAAGATCAAAAACAATCTCTCCACTCTCTCTATGATACTTTATCTCTCTCTCTCAAGGAGGGAGAGAAATGTATGTATCATGTGTATGTGTGTGTGTTTTAGTGTGAGTGAGTGAGTGTGTGTGTGTATGTGTGTGTATGTGAGTGTGTGTGTGTGTGTGTGTGTGTGTGTGTGTGTGTGTGTGTGTGTGTGTGAATCATAATCGATTCGATGATCTTGTCATTTTAAGTATTATACTGTGCACAGGAGAGGTTTTCAATGTTCAAAACTAGGTTTAACCAACCTCTATTCCCCCCACCCCTCTCCTTGAGACAGCTGGACGCGAAGACTAGATTTGCGAGGTGGGTCTTGCCACAAATCAGTTCCTTAGAATTACAAAGTTTTATCTGCTCAGTACCTAGTTTTGAGAAGTTTGATGTAAATATTTTGAGTTTCACAGCATGTCAAGCTTTGCCAAACGCAATTTTTATTCTTTGAGTATCTTGATAACGACTCTGAATAATCTCATGGTCTTAATAATGACTCAAAACAGTCAAAAATGTCTAAGCAGAAAGACCGAACTCAATAACAACGCTCCCAACACTGGAATGCAAATCAAACTCAGGTTTCTCCACGCAATGACAAAGTAAACACCACAACACAGATGCCGGTAAAGGCTGTACACTTACCAAAATCATAACAGAAAGTAAACAGACTTAATTAAGTACAACATTCTACACAATGAACTCTGCAGAAACAACAGTTTCACATCTCACCTTCTCACTTTTCGGCAAGTCAGTAGACAACAGCACTGAGGCAGCATCATAAGTCTCTTTCTCCATTTCTTCCACAGGTAACTTTTTTAGCTTGTCTTCATCACAGCTTCTTTCAGAAGCATCCCCAGAGCCCGAGAGTCCTTGACGACTTCGAACACGCCTACGGCCCAACAACTCTTCAAACTTTCCAGCAGGATCAATTGCTGCCCCAACGGTGAATTTCTGAGATTTCTCCGCAAGAGAGGCACTGAATCGCTGGGCAATTGTATTAGCTCTTCTATGCACACTGCTCAGAGATTCCCCTGAGATAGATTTCTTTGACTTTGACAGGGGCGTTACTGCGGAGCTGTCAGGAGAAGATGTGATACAAGCAGCAGCAGCAGCCATAAAAGTTGAAACAGATTCAATATTTTTGGTACCAGCATTTAACTCTGATGTAGCCCCTTTGTCATTGGGTTGGGCAACATCCAGGAAGCTTTCATTATCTTTCTCACTAGCTGGTACACTGTTTTTACAATTTTCTTTTCCATGAGACTCCAAATTATTAAAGTACTGGATGGTGGGTGCATAATCTGACAAGTCAATGAGAGATGCATTTTCATTTGATACATTTTCAACCTCTTCTTCGGAAGAAACCTCAAATACTAATCGAGTATTTTGAGGCTGTTGATCTATGGGTAAATTAAGGCAATAGTTTGGAGGAGCCTGGGGCTGTCCAGCAGGTTCCACAGTTTCTGTTGCTTCACTTTTACCTTTTTTCTTACGCTTTCGCCTCCTTTTCGGATGTACAACATCATCAGCAATTTCTTCATTTGTAATCGTAGTTGAAGGCGGCTGAGAAGCCAGTCTTTTTTTTGTTTCTGCAAAGGAACTAGCTAAATTTGCACAAGAAGCCACTGTTCCTTTGCCAGGGTTTAGCTTTTTAGATCTTTCCTTTTCTTTCGAGAGTTGAGCAATTTTTTTGCGCAGAAGAGATTGGATCTCAGGAGACATCAAGTTTGCACGTTGAGGCTGACATTCACTTGCAAAAAGATGACTTTCAGTATCTTGTGCTGCCTGGGATTTATCAAAATTAGAATGCTCCCCAGGAGTATCAAAGTCTGTCTTATTCCCGGTCAGCTTTTTAACAGAGCGTGAATCCTCACTCTCTGCTCGTAAATTTTCCTTTTGACGGGACTTTTTTCGTACAGCTCCCTCACCGTTTCCATTGCAACATCCTGCAGAGCTGCCTTGATCAGGAGTCAGTGTTTCATTGTAGCCACCCACAGCACCACTGGCACTATAGTCACCAGAAACTCCAGCCTCTAGATTTATTTCTGATTCTTTCCGAGGAGCAAAACATTTATAGCCTTTACATTCTGATCTCCTATGTGTCTTTTTGTTGTCAGAAGGAGCAGTAAGACTTTGGTTGTGATTAAGACTTGGCTCATAGTTGGAAGGACGCCGCTTTTGAGGTGACTTACGTTTGCCTGTCTCTTCCGAGATAGTTCTTGACCGCGCATAGTCTCCTCCATTTCCAGCAATAGTGACAATGGGTTTACTAACTGAAACTTGCTGCTCTAAACTAGAGTCCTTGGGAGTGTACCTGCAAAAAAAAAAAGCAGAAGCAAGCTCATGATAAATATGACAAACAAATAATATTTAAAAGATAAACTGAACCATTTGATCATCAACATAAAAAAATTGAAAACTGAATCCAGAAAAAAAATAAAGGACTCCAAAAGTCTCAAGTGCAATGCAAGAGATAACAGGCCAGTTGAAACTGTTTGTAATGACTGTTAATACAGCTCTAATACTGTGATACACAGTACACATATCAGTGCTAGACTACATATATATATATTTATCTACCACACACATAGCCAGCCTGAAAAAAAGCAAACAGAATTTTAGGTCCAGGTCCAGAATTTTGTTCTTATAAAAATTCTTTGTATCGTCACTACCCTAGTAAAATGGCATAACTCAGAACTGTGCCACAATGCAAGAAGCCTTTTATTTTGTTTGGAGGTACTATATCTATCTTTTGGTATAATGAAAACAAAAACGCATTGGCAGTAACAAAAGAAACATACATGGCAAGTTTTACCACTATTAGTATTTGGACAAAGGATCTCAGAAGTAGCAAAAATCATGAGGTAGTGGCCATTTTGCTAGCGCAGCGACGATATTCAAAACACAAATTACGTAAACAAATTGTACATCGCAAAAAAATTTGGCGTAAGTTTTGGTAGATGTAAACACAACCGGTTCCGCGAATTTTATTTACCAAAGTAGCCGTAATTGAAGAGAGAGCATGCTGGCATGGTAACAGTATGAGTGTATGCCACCCAAACTGAAAGGGCCGAAACATCCTAGCAGAAAGACCTAAACATACTAAACAAGACTTCTCGCCACTTGGGAATCAAATTTATGTCTCCTGCATGTAGCGAAGCACCTAAATCCTAAATGCTACACCAAAGACGCCTGTCAGATGTGAAGGAGCCATGGCAGGGCAAAAGAAGCGGAAAGGTTTCTTGGTTGAGGAAAAATAGCGGATCTTAGTCTTAGCAGAGGCAGGGATAAAAAGCTTGACAAAACCCAAATCAGTAAATCTCAGCGACTGTGAACCCAGCATGCATGCCAGCATGGCATATAAATATGAGGGAAATAATATAATTCATGTTAAAATTCGACCCAATTGTCCAACTTTGTTTATCTCCCTTGATACATACTGAAATTTGTACACAAAGAAAAGATTTCCACATCCAGCCCATATTCCCTCCTTTCACGTGCCAGACTTTAGACTGTATCTTCAAATTATAGATTTCAGACAGAGAGTCACCCATACCGATATATTTTAATGTCAGGCGAAATTTTAGGGCATTTAGTTGGTGAAGTATGGGACCGCAATGCACACAAGACAAATTAGTCTGTCCCCGTCGGATTAAGCGATTGTGCGGCCGGGCGCCACATGTTTTTTTGCATGATTCTGCAACATTTACATAATTTTGGATTCCCCGCATTTTTTCATTAATTTTTTTTAATGTTCACAAAAACAATAAATAATTATTTAACGCCTCGCCATGTGACTAAAGGGAAGTAATCACCGTAATAAGTCAAGTCTCATTTAAGTTTAAGTGACAAGTTGGTTATTTTCCTTGTTAGAAGATCTTGATTAGTGGAATATGTTTCAGGGATTTTGTTCCTTGTGCAAGTTCAATTTTTCAATCCATCAAAAGTTGTTCTCATGTCTGCTGAAGTTTCATGTTTGACCTGGTTTAGTGATGTTCCAGCATCAGAGGTTCAGATATCACTATTTTTTTTCTCATAGTAGTCATAGATCTACAGCTGAAAGAAAGTTACAGGAATTATATTTTTGGTGGCTTTTTTTCAGACTGATGTGTATTGTTTTCTTTCCACTTTCCAAATACACAAAAAATTACTGATACTAATATGCTCTGTGTTCAATTTTCCTCTGTACATAAAATATGAAAATTCTTGTTGAAAAAGTGCCAAACGTGTTGTGAATGGAGTTAAGGTAACTTGCATAATTTTTGCATAATTTTGCATTTGTCTTGCATAATTTGGCCATCTAAATATTCATAATTCTGCGGGGACTGTAATGTACGTTTAGATTCAAGAACAGTTGAATGTCTTGGACAGTCAGCTGATTGTAAGAGCAGGTCTGAGAGTAGCCTATATTTGTCACACACCCACATTTCAACGTGTTGGCAAGACAAAAACATGTCAGGTACAAGTGAGTCTCATGTTCTGTAAGCGCGCATGAAACATGGTTAGACTTGCAAACTAAAGCATCGCGATCTTTCATAGAATTATTTTTATTTTATAGTTGTTCTGTGCCTACGTCTGAATGAAAATAGTCTGTGTGTGTGTGTGTGTGTGTGTGTGTGTGTGTGTGTGAGTGTGTGTGTAAATATAATATTGCATGAGAAGAAAAGAAGTAGTAAAGGTTTTTGAAAATGAGTATTCCCATGTAAAGTGCAATGAGGAAATGCGCTATATATATTTACTAATAACTCTATATGCCCACAAATTGACAAGCGCCTGAGTCCACCTCATCATGACACATAGTATATCATTTTCATCATGGGTCGAAATCATTGACCGGTCAGATCAAACTAGAAGAAATTTAGACTTTTATCAAACTAATTAGCTCCTAACTTGCGACAGTTGAGTTGAGTAGTTTAGTACACTTTGCATTTTAGTAGGGGAAATCCAAAGAAACTGGGTAGTAATCATCCCCGACTGGCGTTTGGTGACGGGAGCGGAAGTTTGGCTTTCTTGCCGATCGGCCAGATGTGACGGCAAAGTCTAAATTTCTGCTAGTTTGATCTGACCAGTCAAGGACTTCGACCCATGATGAAAATGATAATTATACACTCAAGATTAAACTGAAATGTGACTGTTTTTAAAGGTGATTCTGTTTATGAAGCTGGTATTTTGGCTTGGCCTGGAGCAAATCTGAGTAAGGTCGAAATTGGCCCACCCCCTGTCGAAGTTGCCCATTCTCACCCTGTTGAATTTGCACCAGCCTCCAAAATCTCACCCCATCATTTTAAGTAAATCATCAAATTTCATTTCAAGAACAAGAAAGGAAATCGTAGGCCTAGTTGTAGGCTACCCCTACACAAGCCATCCTTTACCTTTTTAGATTCAAGTAGATAGCATAACATGCGACCAAACGTAGAACGCCGCAAAATATTTTTAGGTAAGGCGGCCATCTAATGTGATGCCAGACCGCGATACCCCTCCTATCACGTGACTACAAAAAACATCTCTAACTCTTAAATATATAGCCAACCGCATGGCACCAAAGATCGTGCAGAGAATCTTTGATGGCAGGACGCTTTGATGGTGTGACGTTTCTCCAGGAATACCGGTAATGTGATATGATGCGGTGCTCCGATGATGCTGCTGCTTATTTCTTCTGCGCATTGTTTATCGCGCCAGGGGGAGGGGAGCAAATCTTCCGGTGACTTTACGTCAATTTCTGCGCGCTTTATTGTCTTCGTATATACCATACATTATTTCAATTTCAAGCATCACTACCGGAATTCCAAAATGTTATTAACATACCGGAAACCTTGTTGTAACCAATCAGTAGAGCATGGCTGAAGGTTGCAGTTAGCCGCCCGCAAGTGTGAAATTTTACCGTGCGAAACATTTGGATGTGGATAATACAGTGGAACTCTTGATTCAACAAGAGGAGATGGATTCCCCGTTTTTTTTTCTTCTTTAAAATTAAAAAAAATATCCCGGATTCAACAAGCATTTAAATCAGGAAGCTCGGATTCAACCAAGCTGCTTCCAAGGTGAACAGCCCCCGCAGACGTGGCTTTGCTCAATTTTCTCCCACAACGAACTTTATCTATTCCCGGAAACCATCCATTGCACCTGCATCGTGAATCATTATATTCACTTAACCGATTGCATGCCATCAATCAGCGGCCTTCTTTCATACCAACACATGCGTTGTTGGCACGCATGTTTCAGAGTCGGATGGGCGGCCTGCACAAGTGTGACTGTGTGCGTGTCAGGGGGCACCAGCGGTCCGGGCATGGAACGTCGCAGATACAAACGCGTCACAGTCTTTCTTTCCATTCGGCAACTGATCATTATTTATTACAGTGGAACTCGGATTTAACGAGCTCGGATTCAACGAGAACTGGGATTCAACGAGATGAGATAGATTCCCCGTTTTTTTTTCTTCTTTAAAATCAATAAAAGTAACCCGGATTCAACGAGCACTTAAATCAGCGCGCTCGGATTCAACGAGGTCGCTTCCAGGGTGAACAGCCCCCGCAGATGTGGCTTTGCTAATTTTTCTCCCCGAACGAGCTTTATCTATTCCCAGAAACCATCCATTGCACCTGCATCGTGAACCATTATTCTCTTCGCCGATTGCATGCGACCAATCACTGGCCTTTTTTTCATACCAACACATGCGTTGTTGGTACAGTAGTCTCCGCCTAAACACATGGAGCTCGGGAGGGCTCCTTAGCGTGTGTTTATACAGAGCGTGCGTTTACATGAACCTTTGCAAGGGGAAGAAGGGACACAGTCATCTCATTGCCTTGATATTCTAGTGACCTCCCTTTGGGGTAGGGGTCACTTTGGGCCGATAATGTGACAACACGTGACTGTTTTGTGAAGGATTCCCCAACAGAGGTTAAGAATACAAACTGTTGGAGATAGTCATAGATCTAGTCATAGAGACGACAGACCAGCCATGTTGCTTTCCAAGCGACCATCCCCGACCATAAATTCATGCAGAATCATTCTCGAGAAACATTTTCTCTTGTGATTCGTTGAACATGTACGTTATAAGTTTTTCGAGCGCAATAATTGAGCTTATTTGGCTATTATTTAATCCTATAGAGGCCTGTCTAGTGTTTTACAGCATTTACGCATGTCGCGCATCAGGCCTAGATCTAACTAGAGCTAAACATTACATGATTACACGCAGTCACTCAAACTCAACAAACATCAGTCAGAAACCTTCTATCAAAGATACATTTCCAGTGACCGATCAAAAAACATTTCAGTCCCCCCCCACACACGCACACACTTTTAACCGACCAGCCCTAGACCGAGACCTGTGCGTCAGTAAACGCGGTCCATCACTCTCTTTGTACGGCGTGAGGGGCACTCTCACCAAATATCCGGTTTTCTAGTAAATTCTAGCCATGTTTTATGCAGGCTGTGCAGGTTGTAAGGTTGTAATGGAAATTTCCCCTTGCCAAGCTTAACTTGTTGGCGTGTTTCGCGGATCGGAGCGTGCGTTTAGAGGGAGTGACCATGCATTTGTACATCTAAATTATATACAGTGGAGTCCACTTATAACGAGTCCGGAAAAAACGAGAAGTCTGTTATTAAGACACTGTTCTAAAACCTCGTTTTTTTTCTCCTCTTTACCTTTGTAAATAAAATACTGCTATTGCGCTATCAGACAAACATGCCAGTCGGTTATAGCGGAAATTGCTGTTGCTGTGCACAGTGCATAGGCCTATTATACATAATGCAAAACCTCGCAAGTTCACAAACGTGTTGGTGATCTAGCGAAACAAAGAATACGAGAGTCCACGTGCATCAACAATGAAGGCCGGAGCGACTGAGTAGGGAGAGTGTGGCGTGCGCAGACATGCAGTAACGCATCGCATGATAAGCCAGCGTAAGCCTTGTTTAGATTATCGAGGCCTACAATGCCTCTCACTTTTCTGATACGGGGATGGAGAGGTCACAGCAATGTGATAGATGGAGCGAATGTGTGCCCTCCATGAAGGAAAAATCTGGCCCTCATTCAAACCATTGGGATTGAGCAAAATTTTGCGTATTGTGCTTTGTTCTTTACAATATTCATTATGGTTATGATTTATAAGTTGTACACTGAGACAAAACCATACTAAATGAGAAAGGTGCACCATTTTATGAAAGTGGAACGAACTCAGTTGCCTGAAAAGGGTAGTTTGAGCATGTGTGGCCTAAATAAGCTAAACCCCCCTCCCTTACCTTATTTAGGCCATATGTGGCCTAAATAAGCACTCCCTTTTACAAATGTTCTTTCTAAGCATATCCAGCAGCACGCAATGAGGGAGCTATTTGCAGGAGATGCGACACAAAAAATAAAACGCATTATATGTCTATCTGGTTTGAGATCCTTCGTGCTCTGGCTTCCTCTGGAAAGCCGAACATTATAATATCACAAACGTGACCGGTAAAATATGAACTCGGTAAGCTTTTCAGATTTGGTTTCGAGGACTTTGTGCATTATCGGGGGTCTCTAAGCGATTTTTTTATTTTCAGATTCCCGGGACATAAATTCCCCGAGCCCCCCTGCATAGAATCCTCATTTCGTACTGACCAATTCTCTAGACCAAGACAGATTTTAGAATGTTTTGCTTCGATACCGATTTTCCATCTGCATTCACAATTGTTTTCTAGATATACAGATTTTCCAGCAGCAGCAAAAAACCGAAGATAGACTGAAAGAAAGAATGAATGAAAAGAAGGGGGAAGATTATCTATCGTGAGTAGACAGATTTCAGCCGAATATGCACGCGAAAAACTATTGCCGACCGAACGGTACAGATAGACAATGGTCGAGTGTACGAAATACGCAATCTAGCAGTTTCTTATACAACTTATTGTCGGGAGTTACTGTAACTGACAAGTTACGGGGGAAAGTGCTGATCTCTCTCTCTCTACACATGGATTGATGATGGAGTTGATATGATGATGCGGCAAGTACGGAACTTTCGGAATGTACGGACTTGCGTAAAAACAAAGAAGAATGGATGCACTGCAGAATGGGGTTTTTTTTCTTTTTATTCTCTCGGCACCCATCGTAAATCCGGTAGTTTTGACACCTTATCGGTATGGCGGTAGATCTAGAACTCAAAATCGGTATCTACCGGAAAAATCAGTAGCTTTAGGCAGCCCTGCTGACCCAACATGTCATTTCATGCGGTATCTCCAAAGATTCTCTACCACACGATCTTTGGTATCTGCACGGCCTTCTAAAAATAGTCTGTAGGTATTCCAGGACGTGATGACATCACATTACAAAAATTAGCCGCCAATCAGGCAGGTGCGTCGTTCTACGTTTTTCGGTGCATGGAATGTGAATCTAGAATAGACTGAGAAAACACAACTTACACTATTTGGACATAAACTGTATCTCCATCTTTCAAAATACGGGAACTTTCAAAAGATGGAATAAGGCAACCTGAAAGCCATAAGCTGCACGTTTTGTAGTATTCCTGATTTCCTATTTCTACAATGTCCAAGTCCAGAAAATAATAATCTGCCCCCGAGTTGTTGAATTCTGGGCATGACACACTTTCTTCCCCTCTCAAGACTACGGTAACTTCTTGAGCATTGCTTGAACTTGAACATAAATCATGAGCTCTGGGCCTAGATATAAATCTAGATCTACTTGGTCTTGGAGTTGAAACTAAAAAATCATTTTTTGGAACCACTCGCATTCTCTTCGGTGGTGAAACACTCTTTGAATTTGAAGATAGAGCTTGATTTTCGCTAACATTGAGCTGCTGTGAAACTGAGACAACTGAAGTTATCCCTGGGGTTGAGGTAGTTGTCAAACTGGACAGGTGAGTAGGGGAATATTCAGGAGGTTGAAGCATCGTGACTGCTCCAAACTCATCAAACTGGCTCTGTTCACCTCCAGTATTGGTTAAAGATGCGTACGGTTTCGAGGAATGTTCTAATAGTTTGATTGCTTTGAGAAGCTTAGTTTCCACATGGGTAACTTTCGGGCACTCCGAATAATACAATAAATGCCAGAATGAGTCAAAGTAATACAGAGACGCATCTGGGGGCATAGTGGAGTAAACCCTGATTCGTGCACTTTTGGGAAAACGTCCGTGCGGCGACATACTCATGCGGGCCGCCATGATGGTGGACGGCTTTTACAAAATTTTACTTTCATACTGGAGATTTTCAAAGTCTGAACTCGTGCAAAGGAGCGATAGCCTACTAGATCTAGCCTAAATCTACTGTCAAAGAAATAATAATAATAATAATAATAATAATAAAATAATAATAATAATAATAATAATAATAATAATAACAATAATAATAATAATAATAATAATTGATCTAATGACAATAATAGCAGAGACCTAGCAATGTAAACATTGCTATAGCCTAGGTCTCTGACACTAGCATAATAATAGCCTAATTTAGTCGTGATTGAAAAATAACAATAATAATAATAGGCCAGGCGTAATAATTTAGGGATATAATATGCACTCTCTCTTTATCTCTCTCTCTCTCTCTCTCTCTCTCTCTCTCTCTCTCTCTCTCTCTCTCTCCTGTCTCTCTCTCTCCTGTCTCTCTCTCTCTCCTGTCTCTCTCTCCTGTCTGTGTAGCATTGTATTATAGGCCTATACTGGTGGAACCCAAGACCGACACAGTCTTGGGTGGAACTCAGTTTCAACCAACTCGGATTCGACGAAAACGCGGATTCAACGAAAAGAGTTCGATTCCCCGGTAGTTGTTGTTTTGTTGGGGGGGGGGGGGGGTTCAAATAAAGATCAATAAAATTAACTCGGATTCAACGAAGCCGCTTGCAGGGTGAACTGCCTCGTGTGAACAGTCAGTAATATTTTCATATTCAAAACATGCGTTATTAACACTCACCACACATGTCCTAGCGCAAGCAACTGTGTGTGCGAGTGTCCGAGGGGTTGGGGGAGGGGAAGAGCACAAGCGGTCCGGGCGTGGAAGTTTAGTAGAGATACAAATACGTCGATAGTTATCTCTTCAATATTCCGACCAATATACGTACTATCACTATCAGTAAACTTCTTATTGTAATTTTTGCTCCTACTTTGTACTATTGGACTATATTCTTCTATTACTACTATCAAAATCATGTACATTGCATATTGTGTGCGTTTGTATGTAACTAATATTATATATACATGTATATATGCCTATATTTATATTATGTAATATATAAAAATACGCTCAAAGACACAATAAGGGTTCGTCGATGTGTTGTCGCACAATAGGAAACCGTTCCTAAATCTCAGTTTTATCTCGCTGGCTCACAACGTTGTTGTCACCAGATGCTCTCGTGATGTGTGCTTTCGTGTCACAATTAGATAAGATAAGATAAGATAAGATAAGATAAGATACATCTTTATTGTCCAGATCCTGGCACATTGGTTTGGTGTTCCACCACGAGTACACACACACGCGCGCGCACATGCACACACACAGACACACACACACACACACACACACACACACACACACACACACACACACACACAAACACACACACACACACACAAACACACACACACACACGTACACACGTGCACGCACATGCACACACAAGTAGGCTTACAATCACATATATAATATAAATGAGCAGCAATATAAACAATAATAATCGTAAGCTAGATACACACTCAATGTTATTTTGATGCATGCTCTAAGGTCGTAAGTACACCTACTTCTGGCTGACGCCAGGCGAAGAAAGGGAGTATTATAATTATATAGTGATGCGACTTAAGGGTAGATGTTACTACCCCATCCATGTGAGCCCTGATCAGGCTGATCGGTGTAGATGTCAACTTGTCAAGGTGGTCTGGGTGTGAAATCTCACAAGTGCCTGTGAAAGTACTCGAGTGGCTCTCCATCACAGAAACTTTCCTGGCCATAATATGGTGACATTAGTTTGACCAATGCCTGCCGCCCTGATCGTACGGCCAGCTGAAAAAAACAACCCATGTCACTGGGGCCAAGTGTGGAAGCAAAGGAAATGTTATGTCGTTTCCGTTTTGGTACATTAGGTCAAATGAAATGCAAGCACAGGTGGCTATACGATACGTTCTTTCTTATTCTATGAACGCTGAGCGTTTCGGCCGGTGGCAATTGTATGAATAAGTAGGATATTATTGACGTATTCAGTTATCAGAAAGGCCAGAATAGTTTTTGAGAGGTGCGAAGTTTTGTGAAGTGTGAAGTCTAACTCCCCCCCCCCTCCCCCCGTCCCCGGGGCCTTCAATCTCCCCCTAAATTCCCCTGTCCAAGAAGGAAAATGTATTGGACGGAATTTTTTTCTGGCTCCCTTGCGATTCAGTCTTAGACAGGTTCGAACCTGTGTAAGACATAATCGCAAGAGAACCGGAAAAAATCCCTACATCTTAGACAATTTCATTCACAGACAGAGGAATTTAGGAGGAGATGGAAGGGCGTCGGGGGAGGGGGGGGGGTTAGAGACCCAGCTGGTGGGATAGAGGCTCACTTGTCTGGTTGGCAAGCATGGTCAAAACTTTCACACCTCTCAAAAGCTACCCTACCTCTTCTGATAATTATTGTGTACGTCAGTCATATAGTTACCAATTGACATAGGTGCTTGTATTTCATAGGACCACTGTTCGACCTTCAAACAGAAACGTTTCAACAAGGCCCTTATACTTCCCCAGAGGCCTACCGCTACTTTCACCCTTAGCCCCACCCGTTGGTGCTATGCACAGTCAACATTAATTGGAGCTCCTTTAACCAGTCAACCAATACCACCGTCCCGTGCATATTATGTAACAACGATTCGAGATCTTTTTTCGGCACGATCGGGGTGTCAGACATTGGTCAAACTAATTTCACAGCCCTGGCTACCAAGGAAAGTTTCCGTGCTCGAGCACTTTCACAGACACGAGATTTCACACTCGCTGCACCACCCTCACCATCTAGCGCTAATAGCCTACGGGGTGCCAATACGGATGGGATTGGGATCGGCGGGTAGGGCCGATCGCCCAACTACTCGGTCGCCTAACAAAAGGGTGTTTTGTTTTCAGTTCCAGGCGGCCGAGTAGGGCGATCGACCCGATCCGGCCGTCAACGTAGTGGGCTTACAACTGAGAAGACCAAGGCTGACATGGATGAGGCAACATCCTTATATAAATATAATTGCACCTCTACGACTCCGCTTCCTCGACCGGCGGCATATGTATAAAAGTTTAGACAGCCTATGGAATCAACTTTTATAGTTTTGATTTAAATCAGGGCTGTTTATGTACAAACATTTTCAGTCTTTCTGACAGGTAAAAATCGTAGGAAGTCTCCGAAGGGGGTGGATCTCTCTCCATTTCCGCGTTACTAGTAACATGCTTCCGTTTTATAAAGACTATTAAATAGAAATGTATCCCCCCCCCCCAAATAAAAAAGGGGGAGGGGGGGATTCGCCGTCATAGGCAGGTTCGACTGCATTTTATATAAATCTATAATGCGCTTGACAATCCATTTATTATTTACTCCAGGATCGAATCCATGATATATAGCATTCTGAAACAGTCCCAAACTTTCAGGGGAATTGCATACAGTGCAAGCTATAATTTCATAAACCCTAAAATCTCAGTGTATGAGTATCATAATATATCAATACAATTTTATGCTTTTATGTTCAGCTCATTTTGCGACATATTTCCCTGCAATTAAAACACTAAACATATTGACAAATAAATAGATCTTTTGCAGTCTAAATGGCCAGGTACCCTATCACACCAGGGTAAAGTGAAGAAAAATCTTTGAAGTGCCTTTCCCAACGACACATCTTGTCGAGCCTGTCTCGAACCCGCAAAATACCTCACGAATACGAGTAGTATACTAGGCCTAGTAGGCTAGGCTAGTTCTCTCCCCTCATCAGATCCCCCACTGCACGATTTGGTTACATCTGCGGTCAAGACAGTCTGTATAGGCCTAGTATTTAGGCCTATCTTTCTACGTCCACCCCCCATCGCACCCCCAGATCCCAATGCATTTTTTTTTAATCGTGAAAATGACACTGACCAAAATCTTCACTTTCTAAGACAACGACTTTTCTTCTCGACAATGAGTGACCGTCCCGGACAACTGTGACTGTATTGTGTTATGTATCTACTTGCCGTGGGTGGTTGGTGGTTGCTCTGGTGGGGTCTGCTCCTTCTTTTTTAAAAAAACCATCTATCATCCTTCCTTATCTCTCCTCCTTCTTTTTTGTGTATGTTACTCACTTGCGGAGGTCCATGATCACCCACGCCAGTCGGCAAGGCACCGGATGCGGATGACTCTCATGTAACACATCTCTTCTTCGGCACGTATACGACCTTATTGTGTTGAAAATGCCTTAAAACTCTTTACGAAAACGATCTACTTGCCAGGTTCTTTGACGGCAGCATGGACCCGTCTCTGAACGACATGACCTTCTCCGACATCCCGGGCACACTATACAGCGCGCTACAGATGGCCAACCTGGCTCCGACATTGGAGGGACTCCTGGCTAGGGCAGCCGTCATCACTCCCACAGGTGAGTTAAAGAAATGTGAAATGGTATTGGTTTAATTTTAGCTTTATGGCGCTCACAACTGCATAAGGTCATGTGAGCGCCAAGGGGTGAATGTCAACAGGGAAGTCCAAACAGGGAATCAGACTTACTCTGCTCACCTCTCCATCCTCAACAGCACAAAGTCTGCTTCGACTATAAAGGCACCCCGGAAACAACAGTTTACTAACAGAGAGTGACAAAAATACAAAAGAAACAGAGGGAAAATAACGATAGTAAAAATGAGGAAAGAAAAACCAGCAGCGCCTCTTAGGTTGTTCTGTCTTTCCAGAGGACACAATGTCGGACTGAGCTGAGTTTTCGTTGATTGGCTATGCCGCACATCATTGGACTATTTTGGTGGGGAATAGTGTACATCTACGAATTCTTACTCTTCTTTATTTATAGAATACATCACACGTGAAGACATGAGGGTTATATTCTACTTTTACCCGAATGTCCACAGAGGCAATATCTGACGTGTCAAGGTCGATACTCTACACCGGTCTGCCGCTGGAAGGTTACGACCTCACCACAGACACAATGGAAGATCAGCTGATGAAGATACGGTCATTTGAGGTAATTAGTTCTTGTCCTGTGTTTGTAGACTGTTGAAGATACGGTCATTTTTGAGGTAATTAGTTCTTGTTTTGTATTTCTAGCCTTTGGAGATACGGTCACTTGGGGTAATTAGTTCTTGTCTAAGCCGCAATGCCTACAAGAAAACATAATTATTTTTCATAATTATTTTTTGTGAAAGAGCCTTTAGTCTTTTAGTTTGTTCTGTTTCCAATTGTAGTTGCCTTCATTGATTTTTAAAACAAACTTTTTAAAAGAATACATACTTTGTATGTCTGTACATACATATGAAGGTATATGTTTGTATGCGTGTAGGGGGTGTATGTGTGAGAGTGTGTGTCTGTGTGTGTGTGTGTGTGTGTGTGTGTGTGTGTGTGTGTATGTGTGTGGTGTGTATGTGTATGTGTGTAGGGTGTGTGTGTGTGAGTGTATGTGTGTGTGTGTGTGTGTGTGTGTATTTGTATGTGTGTGTGTGATAATGTGCGTGTGTATATATTTTACGAGAGTTTAAGTGTGTATGTATGTCTGTATCTATAAATTTCTTTTTTTCTGTGTCTGTGCGTACGACCCTGCCCGTGCCAGACCAAGAGCTAGAATTTTTTCCCGGAAAAGTGATGTCCAAGACAGCTACACGAAGCTACACGTCTATCCACTCTGCTGTGAACTGTCATTTCTCCTGCCACCTTGTCTGTCGAGCGTTTTTCAATTATGCAGAATCCAAACATGGAAGGGGAAAGAAAGGGTCTCTTCCCTATTCATGTTGCGAGATTCTCCACAATGAGTGTGTATTCATCTCTGTCAGGGAACATTGGAGAGCTGGGACTTTACAAACAGAATCACAATTAGCCTGCACAATGTGCTGTCGATGACACGGCGTTACCAAATAATGATTTGACGGTCGATTGTTTGAGCTGGTGTGAAAGATGGTTGCAATATGGGCGTGCATTGGGGTG